GACACCCCTGCCCTACACGGAGGGCTTGTGTGCATTTCTCTGAGTGTATTTGTACACGTCTAAGTACGCCTGTTTTCTTTTATCATTCATTACTTGAAGTGGGAATGAAAAAAAAAAAGTCTTTGCACAGTCTGTGGAGATTTTACTTCCTTCTGGGAACAACAAGCATTTCCCCCATAAATCATACAATTTTAGGGTGAAATCTTGAATTTATTGAGAAAATAACTGCTTGAGAAATAGCATCTCATGGTCAAGGTGGCCCTAAAAACACAAACACAAAATAAAGTTTCATATAACATACAGACAGCTTACTCACCCTCTCATACCTCAGCTATTGTAAAAGGAAAATCAGCAACAAAGGCCCAAATAACACAAGAATGATCTCTGGACAAAGAGCAACTAAAGCAGTTTGATATCTGGTTGTCTGAAACACTGTCATTGGAAGTACATGAAAGTCTAAGCAGGAGCAGGCTACATTAAGATGAGAGAAAACAAGTTGAAGTAAAGGTTAGGGGGATGCTGGGTTTGAGATAAATTAAGTTGAGATTAGATAAACTTATCATGAATGTGAGTCAAAGTAATGTATCCTGAAGTGATGGAAACACCCACGGAGGGTGGCAACTGGTAACAGAGCAGAGGGCTGTACTACAAAGTGAGATTAGTGGGTTAACGAGGTATGTTGAGCTTAAAGCCAGAGTTTTCAGTATCACGAAGGTGGCTCTCTTTTTACCTGACGAGGTCTCCATCAGTGCGGAAGAAGAGTCACGTGACGCGTTTGACGTTCCTTTTTATGTGAACGCGCACAGTTTGAAGCAGAAAGTTGACAAAAACCACCTTAGTAATACCCGTAATCTCTGGCTGGGGCTTTCGTTTTTGTCGAGCCGGTGTTATTTCCACGTGACAAATATTAAATATTACTGTTAGACTTTTTTTTTTTCATCTATATGGCTGTCACTGCGCTCCTTGAGAGGGGGTGCTTTTGTCGGCACAACACCTGTTTACACAAAGAAAGTCTGGCTATGTCTAATTTGCTTCGTAGGATACCTCTCAGGGTGCGCTAGGGGGATTTTGCCGGTTCCGAAAACCCTTCGCACTCCTCAGTGACCCCTCACAGTTCACGCTCCGATGTGTAGCGGCTCGTCTATGAATGTTGATGTCATTTTGTTGAGAACTGCTTCGTTTTCTGCTTCTTCTGAAGTTTTACGGAAGAGAAGTGATTTTCAGTGGAGATTTTTTTTTATACCCACTAATTTCAACCTCCAGCACAACCTGCTGCGGAGCCGTTTAGCCGTTCAGCATCAGTTACCATGGTGACGTACCCCGGTAAGAAGAGTTACCTGCTAGTTACCCCAAATCCTGCTCCGTAGTGCAGACGCCAGGACTCAGACAGCGTTCACAGCGACAACACGGACAGCCACAAGGCTCAAAGTTACAAAGTTTACCTGAAGCAGTTTTCCCTCCCAGGACAGCAGGAGCAGAGCCAGCAGCAGGCGACCCAGAGCCCCGGTGACCCCCAAAACACTTTGTTTCATCAATCCGAACAAACAGCTATTGAACTAACAACAGAGGTCAAACTCTCTATTTCCGTCGCCTACGTCCGTCTGTGGGAAAGTCAAGCAGCGGGCGTTCATCACATCTGTCCAGGTGTGGTAGGAACAGTTAGACGTTAAATCCATGGCAACAGCGAAGCAGCTTCTCACGTGCTTCTACTGTTGTGGCTGCTTTTAACTGTAATGTCTTTTATAATGTGGTTTATAATTGTACTTACAAAACAACACAAATTATGGAGAAACAAGTCGAAACATTTACAAAATGCTTTATTTTTTTGCAACGTATTTCCCTTCAGAAATGTCTCCTAGCTGTTGGGCCCAGTCCTTCACCCACGACTTACCAAAATACAGTACTATTCACAAAGTACTTTTCAAAGTGCCTTCACATGGGGAAAACAGACCAAGATAACTTCTAAGCAGATCCGCTCCTGATATGAAATGATGACAAAATGAAAATAATACTAGCAGGCACTTCTGTCATTTGAGGTATGCACGAAACAAATGAAACAAACAGCATCACAGACTGGTCTTTAAAGGCATGTGCTGGCTGTGTGCAGGTAGGCGAGGAGTGGGCTCCACACACAGTGCAGTGCCCAGGCCTTTGGCTCGGTACGGTCTACCGGTGCAGCACGCTGTCAGGTTTGGGGTAGCCAAACAGCTCAAAGTCCGGTTCATACAGCTTGTACAGTTCTCTTCGTGTCGTAATGGGAATCTGTGCAAACCAGTCTCTTTCCCAGCTGGCTGCAGTGCGGTTTCGGGCCCCTGAAGGGAAACGTAGCAGATCATCCACCTCCAGAAGCTTCAGTAGGTGCTCTGCATCTGTTTCCAGGGATTCTAGTCGTCCAATGAAGTCATATTTCACCTGACATGGATGGCACAGACGGTACACCTGAAACACAGAACAAGCAAAACTGCTTTTATATGTGTAGATATTGGCCTACATAAAAACTCTAGATGTTTTTCACCACATTACAATCATGTTCATGTATTCAAGCAGGCAAGCATTACTTATTGCTGCACCCCATTGTGTGTTTGTGTCTGCTCTGAATCAACAATACTGCTCATTTTTTTATTGCATGTGTATTTTAGAGTTTTTCTAAATTGTTAAAACTCTAAACCCCCCTCTCTGAACCAAATGTTCAGTGGCCTGAACCCATTTTGTTTTAATTGATCACTCTTCTGGCAAAACCAAAACTAATTTTCAAATAGTTACACACAATTTGCATATCTAATGTACTGTTTCTACAAAACTCCAAACACATTCTCACTCACTCAAGCACATTTGGCACTGGGATGCACTTGTGATGCATAATGGTAACCACAGGAGGCAGAAGGTAAACACAATTACAGAGCAGATGCCTTCGCTTACACACAACAACTCGAAATTGCTCAAACTTGTTGCTAATGAAGTGATAAAGCAAACACAATCCAGCTCAGAGTGCACGAGGTGAGAAGAAGGTTGATTCCAGCAGTTGATGAAAACAATGTGAGAGGCAGAGTGTGAATGTGAGTGGTGGAGAACGATGAAGAAGAAGGGGATGATGAAGAAGAGCAGAAACAGTCATTTCAGCTGAAATCCGCTGTTTTTACTGGGTGTAAATATTTCCAACTGCCCTTTTCCTTGTTGTAGAATTGCAAGACAGTCACATGAGAGTGGAAGCACTGTTGTCCCAGCAGTGCTTGGACAATATGTGTTACACTTCTAGACACTAAACTCTGTTCTCTGAACCAAATTCTCAGTGGCCTGAACCCACTTATTAAATCAGTCTCTCTTCTTCTCTGCAAAAGCAACACATTCTGTTTCACAAAACACTTTTTGCACTTTAATACACTTGAGATGCACAAGTGATGGTATCCACAGGTGATGAAACCAACACACCCTCACATTTCTGGGTGGTCTTTGGAAAGCCTTGTGGTAGGTGTTGAGCAGCAGGATCATGAGCAGGTCGAGCATCCTGTCCACAGGTCTTTACCAGGAAAAATCTCCTACAGGCCATGGAACTGGCCTGTGGTGACATAGGCGTGGAGTCTTGCAAAGACTGAATCCAGCACACGCAGCGTTTTTCCCTTGTTGCCTGGTTAGTGGGAATATTGCCTGTGATGTAGAGGACATCTTCTGGTCTTACCCAGAAAAAAAGACTTGATGCTGAAGCAGAATGAATCACTTGACTTAAAATAGATTTTGCACTTACCATAACAAAGTCATGATGCATTTACTGAATTCTGTATAAACAATAAACTTTGTTTTTCTGGAGCTCTATGTCCTGAACACTGTTTTCCATTTTTTGATGAAATGTGTCGTATCTCATACGAGGTGTGTCAGAAAAGTTCCAAAACTGGTGTCACAAAAGATATATTTCAAACATAACTACAACAAACTATGAGTTTTCCCCTTCAGATGATCAACCAGCGTTTGCTTTGTTCAGTGCGCGAGAAGAGGCAGTGGCAGGACAAGTCGTGGCTGCTTCACCGACCTCCCTACTCACCCCACCTGGCTCTGTGGGATTTTTTTCCTTTTCCCCAAGCTCAAGAGGGTCTTCAAGGGGACCCGTTTTGAAGACGTGGACGACATCAAGATGGCTGTGAGGACGGAGCTGCAGAGGATCCTAGAAGAATCCTTCCAGGAGTGCACGGCGGTGTGGCAGAGAAGGCTGGGGAACTGTGTTAGACTCCAGGGGGTTACTTGGAAGGGAAAACTTGTAGTTTGGAGGTTGGATTTGAAATACATCTTTTGTGACACCAGTCCTGGAACTTTTCTAACACACCTCGTATAATCAATTCTTTGTAGTGTTTAAGTTTTGACTGGCTTTTTGTAGGATCTGAAAACATTGGTATTGAGCACAAGATAGTACTGTTTTGAGGTGACGGTTGGATTTTGCAAGAATAGTCAAAGGTTATGTGAATGCAGTATGAAAACTGAGTTTTGTATTTACAGTTCTGAGAAAAGGGCAGGAAGGGTCAAGAAATGTGTTTTCAACATTGTAAAACAAACAAACAAAAAAAACCAACAAATTACAAATGAATGAACTTTTTTCTTCTCCAGTTCTATGCCCTTAACACTGTGTTTTGCTTCTTTTTCAAAGATATTGAGTAATAAATACACAGTAGTGTATTTAAGCTGGCTGTGTTTATGACCTGCACACATGACCCGAACTTGTGCTTTTGATTTAGCACAGACAAAACTGTTCAGAGGCGAATGTTCTGTTTTTCCAGAAGAGTCTGATGTTTTGTAAATAAAAAATGTTTTTTTGTGTTTACAGCATGCAGAAAGGTGGAAGGTTTCAAAAAACATAACTTCACAACTGTGAAAAATTGTAACACGGTAGTTTCCAGTCAGCTATTGCACCCTATAGACAAAAATAGATTTAAAAAAAAAGTTAAAAAGTGGAAAAGTTGGCTTATACCACCCTTTTCGAAGTATGCAGATTGGAAATTAGCGGTGATGTTCCAAAGGTGCAGTTTGACAAACAGCCATCAGCACACCCCTCATGTTCCAGTATACATTGTGACTCAAATGTCTGAGACCACTGGCAAAGATACTTCTATTTTGCAATTGTATAATCCTTTTTCAAAAGAGCTTTTTGTAATGTCAGGAATGGCTTCCTCAGTCTGCAAGTCCCCATAAATGTTTAGTGGGGTTGAGGTCATGTGACTGTGGAGGAAATTTCATGACAGTAAGCTCTCCTTGGCCGTCTTTGGGGCCTTCAGGTCAAAGCTTTGAGGTGTGTTGGGGCTCATTATCCTGCTGCAGTTTGAATCCTTCTCCACAAAGATGTAAACCCGAGGGAGGAGCATGTCCCTGAAGAATGAAGTGCGTGAATGTTCTCAACCACCATGTTTCTCTGTGGGTTTGATCCACTGCAGTATCATTCTCTCTCCTGTTGTTTCCTCACACCCACCCTTCTGTTACTGACACTCATCTGTAACTGGGATTCATCGGTAAATAGGATTTTTTCCTCCATCATCCATTGTGAAATGCTGATATGTCTTAGTCCACCCTGTTTGGCCCACCAAGTGTTTGGCCTTGTTTCCCCTCCTGAGAAGTGGTTTAGGGAGCCTCCTCATCCTCTGAGTCGACGACTAGACAGCCTTCGTTTGACGGGACTTTTGCTGATTGGAGTCTTAAGTTCTTTACTTGGCAAATTCTGTATCTGGGATGGAATTGCTTTTGTGTCTCTCCGTGAACAAAGCTTGATGTGTAATCTTCCGACTGGTGTGGTCACTTCTCGTCTGTCTGATCCTGCTTTGGATAAAACTGATCCAGTTTCCACAAAGTGCTTTTGAGTGCTCATTTCAGTCTAGCCATGATTTGAAACTAGGACAGCCCCTCCTTTGCTCAGAATAACAATCTGATTTCTGAAACTTCTGATGTCATACTTTGTGCAGTCACAGTGCTGCATATGATTTGATGGAAACACACAACACAGCCATATTTATGACTGGTGAACAACAACAAGTTGATTTAGTTACAAGAGCTGCTGTTAAGTCGATCAAATCCACCATCTGAACGCTGCTCAAGGGACACAAATCAGGGAACTCTGACCTTTTGTACACAGGACAACACTAATCTGTTTCAGCTTGATTGCTGACCTAGAAACAGAATCAGATTTTTCTTCTTCATTTTACACAGGTCACCACGGAACCCCAGAAGGGACACGGAGAAAAAAAAAAAAAACAGGGAGAGGGGGGGAAAAAACAGAGGTATTTTTTTGCGAGATCTCGCAAAAGTCACATCAATCTTATTGGATGTTTTGTGAAAACTGTGCCTCTTGCTAAGCACTGCTTGAATGTCTTTATATTTTAGGTCAATTTCAAATTAAACTCAATCAAACTGTCGTACAGGTGGGTGTCCTCAATTGTCGTTTCTCCATACTGCCAAAAAGACCCAGAAGTATATATATACCTATAGTTTGTTCTTCTTCTTTCTCTATTGATTTGGCGGTTGGCATCCAACGTTCAGGTGCATTACCGCCACCTACTGAACTGGAGTTACCTATAGTTTTGCGAGATCTCGTAAACGTCATTGCGAGAGCCAGAGAAAGATACCTCTATATTTATTGTTCCTTTCCCTGATTTTTTTCTTTCTCCATGTCCCTTCCGGGGCTCTGTACGTCACAGCTTCTTGCATTTTAAAATGTTCCAAATCCTCAAACTTTCAGTTTTCCAGGTTTCCATGAGTTTTGACATCCACTCGACATACACAACAGTACAATATGGTACACTGAGTACAGTGTCAATATTAGTACAATGAACACTCTGTATAGGAATAATATGTGGTATGGAATTACCGGCTGGAATATCTCATATCTATTAACCCTCTAAACAGCAAAATCCGATGGTGAGTTTGAAAGGTATGTTATCTTTAAAAATCACCAGAATTATAGCATTTATGAGAACCAGAACCGTAAAAACAGAAAGAATCTTCAGAATTTAACTTTCCAATAGCCCTTGTGCCAAATCTAAACTTAAAATTGGGATAATTCATCAAAAGTAACTTTACAACACATGTCCTATTTAAAAATTCACAAAATCATCAATTCCTAAATCAATAACTATATTCTGAAAAAGAAACAACTAAAAACTTTTGCATTACTCAGCACAACCAAGCAGCCATTGGTGACTCAGCTGCAACCAACAGTCATGTAGTCAAGTAGTACAATATCTATAATTTGTAAGACACCATTTATTCCAGTATCAGTAACACCTGTGGGCATTTGGAAAAAAGTTGTACGTGTTGATTTTAGGTTTTTATTTTTCCATTATTATCAAAGAAATTTTTTATGATACTACTTGCTGCTTCTAGCCATGGTTGTGCTGCTTCTAATGAGGTGCAGGACTTTATATTGCTGTAAAAAATGAGTCCACAGTGAGTGAAAATTGGAGCAAAAACTGCTCAGAAACTGCTTGGAGTTCAGAGGGTTAATAAGAGACACAGAAATAGTAATCCGAGAGGTGGAGCTGATGAAATTACCGACCTGATTTTCTAAAAACCCATTTAAAATATCAAACATTGCCTCATCCTGCATATATTTGCATGCATTTGAGTGTGTGTGTGTTTGTGCATGTGAAACAAATACCTGCCGCCAGTGTTCGTTGAAGATGCTTTCCCTCTCCGTCTCGGGATCCAGCAGATATGTGATAAACTGATGAAATGTCGGTTTGATTCCTGCTGCAAACGCCTCAGCCGCCGTCTCTGGCAAACTTCCAGACACATTACCATAACGACGCAGCATAACCGAACCAAACTGCCTGTAGAAGTCCTCGTTGGGCCTTAAAAACACACATAAATACACACAACTTTAATAATGCAGGAATGATGGGACTGCTGTTTAATCAAAAAAGCAGCACATTCCTCTGCCTTAACCCAGCCTACACACATGCTAGACACACACCTTCCAAACTTGTTCCTGAAGGCAGAGATGAGACGCACAAAAGGGTCTCGTACAAACAGAAACTTGGTGTAGTGCTGAAGCTTGACTGCCATCAGGTGGCGGGACAGAGAACCATAATGGCGCCAAAACCTGGTACAGACAAACAGACACAAACACACACAGGGCACCATGAAAGCTCTTCTGTTGGTGGGACGGTCCTCTTAATCAAATTGCAGCTGTAATGCTGTTGACTTTGCCATTCCAAAACCCAAATTCTGTAACTTTTTCAGTCTCGTGTAATACTTAAAGAACCTGCTGATGTTAGAAAATGACTGAAAATCAATGCCAAATTACTCCTGAATGGCAAAGAAATGTGTCTTGTACAGCGCTGCAGATAGAAAAACATGTGCTCAGCTCCCGAGGGGCAGAGAAAGGTCTGTCTGTACTGCAACACCAAGCCCCGCCTGTGGTTTCCACTCTCTCTTCCAAGTAGCAACTCAGTAAATAGCTCCTTTAGCTCACAAACAGTTTGTCCTGTACAGCTTCAATATCTAAGTAATGTGGCTGAAGGAGTAAAAGACAAACTCTTCATTTGTTAATGCAACAAGAAGTAGAGGCAGAATCAAAACCGTGCTCTGAATAACGGGCATGAAGCAATTTACTAGCTGTGCTTCCTTAAATTTCAAGTGAAGAAATAATTACTGTAACATTTCTACCATTAGATTTCACAGGAAACCCGGTGATACCTTATTACAGACAGACTGACTCTCTTTCATCTCAGAGTTGTACATTTGTCTTGAACTTCTGTCAGATTTCCCTCCTGTGTTTATTGTAGGACTGAGGTATGTGGTTTGCTCGGCTGTCCAGTCTTCCTGTTTAGACACATTTTTAGCCTCTTGCATGTTTACTCGTGTGAGACTTTTACTGAGTTGTTAAAAAAATATAGCGGGGCCTCAGTTTCTTTGTGTAGAAATTTGGTTTGTGTTGGCAGTTTTTATGGTTACGGTCCTGCCTGTATGACTGTTCAACATTTTTGCCAAGAAACTGAGCAGATGAAGTGTTCCTATGAACGGAAAAGGTCTGCATTAAATGTGAGACTGACATTGACCGTACTTTGACATTTGAGCTGACGAAGGTTAAGAGATGCAGCATCTTTTTTCCTCTGTCTGCTGCTCACTAATTAAAAAGAGGTAATATGTTTTCTAAGTGCCAGTATGTTGAGTTTCCTTCATTCATTGACTTTCCCCTGAGGGAAGGATTAAGGATGTGACCACTAAAGTGCGAAGATAATTACAAGTGCAACTGCTGCAAATGAGAAACTTGGTTTCAAATTAGGAAAAAATTGGTAGCACCGAGGACACCAAGGTCATTCTGCAATTATATTCATGAATCACACAAAGCACGGTTGAGTTCAGTTCCAGAACATTATAACACTGTCTCTGCAGTGCTTTACATATAAATGAATGTCACTTACATTCAAATCAAATGAGTGCACACAATGCTGATTAAGCCAATCATTGCCAGGTAAATCTCTTTGAATATTGCAGCATACTGGAGGTTTAAATTTGCTCTCTGTGGCAGCGTTCCCATTCCCAGTACAGCAGAAGAAATGCATTGTAATTTAACCGGAAATGATTGGTTTGAGGGAAGCAGCCGTACTGACAGAGATGGAGTGGACTACAGCAGCTAGGAGCACTGCAGAATCTGTGATGGAACAACCCAGAAAGTGTCCAAGAAAAGTTTCTGATGCTCCAGATGAAAAAAGAAATTTAGCACTTAGTGGAAGGATTAGAATCCAAAAAAGGAAGCAATCAAAAGGGAGGCATATGTTATAAGCACACGGCAGCAGTGTTTGTGTGATTAGTGCCAAAGAGGAGATAAAAAAAAAGTTCTACACTGCAAGTTTAATTATAATTCAGGAAAATCAAGTTTAAACATAAAATAAGATTCATATCAATGTTATAAAATTTTCTTTTTTTTGGCTATATTTTCTGGAAAAGTGTAAAAAGGCACATTTACTTTCAGGGGGTACAACTTTTAGGTATTTGCACTTTAACTGAGTATTTCAGTTTTATGCCAGTTTACACATTTACGCTATCTATGTAATTCTGCACAATATTTACATATTTTCACATTATGTCATCTGCCACACATTACCTACATAAACAATTTTTTTATCCTTAAAACCAGCACTGATATGTACCAAATGAACTTTCAATTCAGTGTTTTGCTGTTTCCTTCCCAGAGCTACAATCTCCTCCTCAGAACCTGATAACCTGACAGAGCACACCTAAGCTGAAAAAGGCTGCATGACTTTAGCAACTGAAGGGAGGCATGAAAGGACACATTTAAAGCTACAAATACATCTTATAAATACGTGTTTTTTTAGGTGGCTAGTTCAACATTTCTTGGCACTGCACAGGTCTAGATTTCAATATCCCTCTTAGTGTGTGTACATGTTTGTGTGTCGTACTTGGCAAAAGTGAGGTGGAGAGAGGAGTTGTGTACGAGGTCAGGAGGTACAGCCTCTGGGTCAGTGTAAGGTTTTCCTGAGGAGGGTGAGATCAGAGACTGAGACAAAACCACCATCACTCTCTTCCAGTTGGTGCACGCTACCTGAGCAGAGAACAGCGAGAAGGAGAAATATTCAGAAAGACAAGAGGGACTATGAACATGTGTAAGACTCAAAGTGATGCAAGACGCTGGAAAAACAATGAAACACAGTGATTTTAAGATGTTGTGGTATTCTCTCTCTCTTACTATTTTTCCAACACTTCCATCCACACACAGTGAAGTGACTCTCCACCCACATGCACACCACCTCCCACATGATCACACAAATACACTCACAAGGCAGCTGTACCTTGGGAACGTAGCAGTAGATAATCTGGTGCGTATCATCCACGATCAGGTGATCCAGCTCCCTGTTGGGGATCTGCTCAAAAGCCCGAGTCCTTCCGGGGAATTCCACAGCGCCTCTTCCTGAGCACACGTCCATGATCCTCTGCTTCCTCGTTTCTTGTCCCCTATCGTCGGCAGAGGTCCGGCTGCTCTCCTTCTCCTCATCCCCCCTTGTTTCCTCCTTCCTCTGGTCCTGTTTTTCCTCCCCCTCCTCCTCCTCTGTGTGTGTCTGAGCTGCTCCTTTTGGACTGAGTGTAGTGCTGGAAGCGGTGGTGGAGACATTGAAGCTGAACCTGGCCTGGGTTCTGCTCGTGGTCACAGACTGAGGGGGGCCCACGGTCAGCTGGGAGCAACAACCAGAGGGAAGCGACTCGTGTTTGGGGTCCTGCAGGGGGTAGAGTTTGAAGCCTCCGACGTCATCCCAGTAGACAATGATGAGCAGGATCATAAACAAAGACCCAAGGATGAAAGCCACTCGTAGACCACGCCATGTTCCCATGGCTGCACTGCATCAAGAGGCGTGATTGGTGAGGCGAAGAGGAAGAAGCTATCTCAGCTCCATGGTGGCCGTCTATCACGGAAGGACGCGCTTCCTGCCTGGCCTATTCAACTGAGACAAACAGGAAACGTGACTAAGACCCCTGTTCTCCTTTTCAGCCAGATTGAAGTTAAGAAACCACAGACTGCTACTAAAACTTTTTTTTCAAAAGATTAATGTGCATAGGAGTGAAAACAACAGAAGTAATGGCGTACCAGATTTGTTCTTTCAAAATAAACCAAGCGGTCGTGTCTTCAGAAGCACGATGTCACATGATCAACACTTTTACTGAAATGTTGTGCTTAAGTGTAATTTCGAGCTAAGCTTAGAGAAAACTAGTCAACTTTTTTAAACAGTATGTTTATTTAACACCTATTCTATACTATTAACATGCATGAGGGAAGCAAAAACACCGTTTGATTTAACGCAGTCCATTACAACACCACCCATTTCTACCTCAGTGATGAACACCAAGCAGAACGATCATCTTTCTAACAGTTTCAATAAAAGCTGAAAATATATAAGCTTCATAAAAAGTACCATTTATGGCAAAGCGCTGATGTATTGGATCGCATTAGATTGCACAAATGTTTCTTTATGTTGTTCAGCTTCTGTAGTGTCTGAGCTTCCCCTACAGGCAACAATAAAGTGTAATGTTAATGTAAATCAGTGAGGCAGTTTGTTGCTATTAACAGTTACTGTGATATCAAAAGTTAAAAAAAATACTCTTCTTAGTGTTATAATAATGATTCAAATCATATCCCCAGTCCCAAATTCATGGAGATGTTGATAATATGGAGATAATCACTGCCAGAAAATGCTAATTTGTTTAATCATGTAAACTAATTAACATTTTCCTAATCAATTTGTATGTACATAAATGCGCTGTAACTCTGGTATAACTAAACACTTAAACTGTTGCAGCTTTGCAGCTATATTTCATAATAAGACATGTTTAATTAAGACTTTTGTCCACATGCTCCCCATGAGTTGCAGTGAGGTGGACCTATATCTATTTAAGTAATGTATATACAGTTTTCATGTACAACACTTAAGTATTCCAGTAACTGTACGTGCCATTTTACACTTCTACTCGTATTGTATACACTTATAAAATATGCTGCATTGTACAGATTTACTTTCCCAACCATATATACGAGTACAGCAGTAATCATAACAGATAGGCAGACAAAAGTCCAAGTTCTCAGATAATAGTCCTGTAACTTAAGACAAGTACTCATTTAGAAACAGTAGCTGACACAATGTCATTACAAAATAAGTTGTAGGTGGAGGGCTGAACAATATTTAAATATTATCACAATCACAATATGGCCAGCGCAATGTCCAAATCACAGGAGCTGCAGTGTTTTTGATAAAAGTGAAATGTATATTATCAGAAATAAAGCTTGATGGTGCCAGAGCGACGTCATCCTACAAATCACATTAAAAAAGACTACTCCCACTAAAATCATGACTCATGCCATAATTGCAGTGACTGTCAAAACAACTGCAATATGATTCTTTTTATTCATATCACTCAACCCTAACTAGGCCTATGAAAGCAGGAACTATCTCTAAATAATTAGTGCAGTTTTAAGACTGATTTCATTTTGATTAACATCCTTTTTCTGTTGCACTGGAGAGTTTTCAGTTTTACTTCAACTTGTGCAGGACATTACTTCTTCCCTTTCTCGGGTGTTAATTTCAAAAGCAGGCCAACATAATAAGCTGATGGTCTATGATGAAGCCTGGCTGTGTGTGTCTGACCGGTGTCAAGTCGCTCAGGGGCCGTGGGAACCTCAGGCTCCGCCCGGGGCGCTCAGCTGTCACGGAGATGCGAACAAACGGGGCTGTGGGGGTGGAAGCAGCCTCAGACCGGAGGAGCCCGCTGGAGGGTTTACACCCCTTATTGTCTGCCCCAAAAAAACATCTGCCGTCGGGGTGGGATGGGTGGAGGGAAAAAAAATGGAAAAAATGAGTCTCATAATAAAATTCCAGAGTGGCGCAGAGCAGAAGATCCCGAGGCTTCATGTTTTGACAGAGAAAATGAGCGGTGTGTGTTTCCAGCCTGACTGCAGGAGCGTGTTTGCAGAAATCAACAGCCACAAACTGCTGCCACGCGCTCCACATATACACACACACACGCACGCACGTGCGTACGCGCGCGCGCAGAAGGAAAACACATTAAAGTGTTAAAACGTGAAGCTGAGTGGAAAAGTGTCACACCGGGTGGATTTATACCGCTCAATAACATGTCCGCTGTTTGCAAAGAAACGTGCAGCTCATTATAGTCTGATTTGTGGGACTCACATCACCTCCTCCCAGCACCTCCTCGCTCGGAAACAGCCTTAATTTATACCGTACACCGGTTATTACAATGCGTCCTTTCACCGGACACCGTCCCTCTCTCTAACAGACGCTTCACCTCCTCCCCGCGGCACAAACGCTGGACTTATTTTTTCTCATCCTCCGTCGCTCCCCTCGACCCTCCTCAGCCCTCTGAGGTGCACACAGCCCGGCTCTGTTCCCTTCATGCCCTTCACACCGGCAGCATCACGGCCACGCTTCAGCCCGGTTCAAACGGGAACGTGTGTGTGAGAGAGAAGAAGAGAGACAGAGAGAGAAAAAAAGACGACACATGACCTGAATCTTGTGATTTATCTTACCCCGCACAGGAGCTCCATGGTCGCCGCTCGGTGTGCCCCCTCTCCGTCTGTCCGTCTGCCCGCCCGGTGATGAGACCGGGAGGAGGACGACGGGGAGCTCCACACCATCAGCAAACTCTCGCGAGATTTGGGACTGGGACTCCAGCCACCCACGTTTCCACATGTTCCACACACACACACACACACACACACACACGCTTGCTGTACAGGCTATATTCAGCAGTGGGGATTTAGACTGTTAAAATATAAACCCGCCTATGACGCTGGTTCCCAAACTAAGGTCTGGGGACCTCCAGGCGGCCCCAGAGGAGACACCCACAGACATAATAACAGTGTGATCCAACTGGCAATAATGAGCGCATAACAGACCATTCTGCTGCAAATGTAAATTGAAGGAAAGAAAAACAAACATGTTAAGATAGAACTATCAGATAAGAGGCAAAAAAATTATGACAATGTCATAAATTGAATTTTTCAGTCAATCAAAAGTTGAACCTAGTAGCATCTGTAAAGTCCATCTAAAAGCCATCCGTCCATCCAGCCATCCATTATCTCCACACCAATTTATCTTCTACTATCCCGGCTGACCTCGTGAGAAAGCAGGTGACACCCTAGACAGGTCGCCAGTCCATCACAGGGCTACACTTTAAGACAGATAACCAAGCACACTCCCATTCACACCTACAGACAATTTAGAATCATCAGTTAATCTCAGCATGTCTTTGGACTGTGGGAAGAAGCCGGGGTCAATAAAAAAAGCCAATATCCAATTATCCAGTGACAATTGTACACTTGGTTTAGGCTGATTATATCTGTTAACATCATGTCTTTGTCTATTTTGACCCTGGTGAAGACATATCAGTGCTGAAACATTATCCTGGTTGCACAATGAAAGACTGAATTTAGCAGTAGGCTCCAGTCACATTTTGTACTCTTAAAATGTGCTTGAACATGATTTAAATAAGCTAAGAAGCGCTTGCATTTTGCTGGAAGATACATGAAAAACCCTGTTTCTAACATCCTGACTTAGTATGAGATAATTTTGACATAGCATTCCATTATTTTTACTTAATAGGTTGAAATTTTGACAATACTTTGATCATTTTGAAAACAATTTTAAAGTTTTTTTTGTACTTTCCTGTAAGAATTGTGACGTAGTATGGCATAATTTTGGCTCACGTGCCAAGTTGTCAGTGTGAGGGTTTTTAACATTTCTTTGCACAAAGGAGTTCCCCAAAACAACTCGAGTTACATCCAATACATAATTTATTACACGTTTGTTACAATTGTTGATTTATTCATCTGTTTGTGAGTGTACCTGGGGAAACTCTCCTCATGTAAAAATATGAACATGGCAAATGTTTTATCACCATGTTTGTTTACAATGGATTCCTTTTATGCCAACAAATGTATCCACCATCTATCCACCGCTTAATCCTCACTAGGGTCGCGGGGGGGCTGGAGCCTATCCCAGCTGACTTAGGGTGAAGGTCTAGCCAGTCTATTGCAGGGCTACACGTAGAGACAGAAAGCCAAGCACATTCACACCTACGGACAATTTAGAATCATCAATTAACCTCAGCATGTTTCTGGACTGTGTGGGAGGAAGCTGGAGAACCCGGAAAGAACCCACGCTGCAGACTCCACGCAGAAAGATCGCGAACCGGCAACCTTCTTGCTGAGAGGCAACAGGACTACTACAACTGCGCCACCTTGTAGCCCTGCTGGAAAACAAAACTCAAAAAAAATGACAATAAATATCATACAAAAAATGGTGAAAATTAAATAATTGAAACCTTTTCAGTTCTTCTTTCAGCACCAGTGGACTCATGAGATGTCTCATGTCTACCGGTTTTGCTGTGGGTGTGATAAAAAGTTATTCCACCCAACCCCCTGACAGTAAACATCAAACTTGAAGTGAAAATTTAAGTAGTGTTTTGAGTTTTTGACTGGACTTTGTGGTCACGTTTAAGCAGTTTTTTTTTGTTGTTGTTTTATTGGGCATGCATATTACAGGGTTGTTGTGTTTAACTGCACTATTAACAGCTGTCTCTTAAAGAGTGTTTATAACATCTGTGACTGACGGGGAGGCTGATCTCTCCACATTAAAAGTGGCAGGCCGCCCACCAGCAGGCTACTGAAACTGGCATCACAGTGGCTCTTTCACTAAAAAATAATGTCAGAAAATACTGACGGCATTTACCAAGAAAGTTTTGGACAATGTGACAACTCACTGAGGACTAGGTGGGTCCATTTTTTCCTAAATCATTGCCAACTCAGTCTGAATGTAACTTGTGCACACGAGGATGATAAAATCAAATTTCCTTCTCCTAATCCAATTGGAGGCCTGTTGTTGACTTTAGTTTTAAACCTTATTTAGCAGTATTTTAAATCTTGAGTCATGGTTCAGATGGTGTGTAACCATGAAAGTACATCTGGGGACATTCCTAACTAGGAGGTCTTCAATAAATTAATAATTCATTGACAGTTCTGTTCGCCGTGTCAGACATGACAGTGAAAGTCTGTGAACTTACAGTACATCACGTCCAGTGAGGTTAATGAGGTAAAAGATCTGTGCAGCCCATAGAGTCAATATTGTGCATCAACAGCAGCGGACATTTCCATCGGGGAGTAACCGTGCAGACTAATGAACGTAAATGTTTCCAGCACATCAACACCTAACTGGTCCACGTATGCTGATTTATCTCAATAACAATGACGCAAATGTTGAATATGAAATGCACAACTGTACTGCTGTTATGGACTTGTTAACTACCATATTTTTAGACCAGTTTACGTCTCACAAAAGAAATTATACTTTACCTAACTTTCTGCCATCAGATGGTTTTTGAGTAAGGGTAGAGATGCCAATAAAAATCTGTAAAAAAAAAAAAGTCAGGCCCAAATTTTCACCTTAATGACAGACTAGATGTAGGAATAAAACGAGAACCCTGCATCGTGGTTTGCCTGAAGTATTTTAGGGGCACAAAACATATAGTAGACATAAAAGCGTGAGTGACCTCCTAACTCAAATATTTTGACCTCCGGTGAAAAGGTACAGACATTAAAATCACCCGAGCAGAAAGAAATTTCCCCTTAAGCACACATTCCTTACAGCTTATGGCCTCAAATATAGTGATTCTAGTGGCAGCTAGATGACGCGTAAGAAGCCGAGTTTAGGCTGAAAGGCAGCTGTGCTTTAACTGTGGCTCCTGAGGATGTTGTCATCTGTTTATGAGATGTAATTTGTTCCAAACAACAAAGGTTTAAATCCATCAGGGAGTTTTAAGGCTGCTTAACGTAAAGTACTCCACTGGCTGCATGTCTGCAAACAGGGAGGATTAAAGGCTGCAGTAACCTTTGAGTGATGCCATTTGGCTTGATTTGATTATCTATGGCCACAGGAAAAGAGACATTAAGGTCAAACTGATGTGCAATGGATATACACATATCGTCTCTTTAAAGATTGCGATATCATCCAAGTTGGTTTCAAGCAAACCCATCTGTTTAAAGATAAATGCATTTTTTAGATGTACATTGTGCACAATGACTGATTATCTTATCAAACATAAGCATTGATGTTTTGCTATTTATCTAGCTGACAAATGTGCCCCAGTGCAGTCAAGAGATGCACTAATTTATCACATATCCATTAAAATCTGTGGAATAGTCACTCATCAAATGCTTTATTGATTATGGATGAGTTCAGAACTGTACATACGACTGAATCCCACAAATATCTTTGCTGGCAGTTGAATCTGTCAGCTGTCTATAAAAAGTAAGAAAACTGGGGAAAAAAGACCATCTACCATAGCTCTACGATTTCTAAACATGTATAGTATCAATCCGAAGAGCATCACATTTTGAGAATCGAGAGGCTTCAGCACTTCTACTTGGTAATTGACTGAAACATCAAAATTGTTGGCAGTAATTTTTTCTATATTTACCAAACCAAGTCGACTTGTATATTTAGCATAATGGATGGGATTATGTGACTCAGCTGGATTTCAGTGCCAGGTTTAAACAGAACATGAGATTCCCTCTACAACAAAGAACCAAACGCTGAGACGCAAGCAGGTAGTATTACGTTTGAATTTTTATTTAAAGTTATGCCCACTGCGCACCCCCTCCCTGTGTGAAAGCCTAGTCTGAATGGAGGAGGATACAGGCCACTATAGCGCTCCATCAGCACATTTATTAACAAGGCTACTTGTTTAGTCACAACACCTCCACCTGCCTCTGGTATGGCACTCTGTGCTGCCCTGTAGTAACACACTAGCATGGTAAGGCTAGTTCAAAAACACCTCCAGGAGGAAGAAGGTCCAATAGGAGACGGGGCTGAGATTAGACAGTGAGTGACTTCAATTGATGAATAGAAAAATGGAGGCAGTATTACTAAATACCAAGTTCCACAGAGAATAAAATGGGGCCGATGGCAGGGAGGGACAAAGAGAAAATATGCAATACAAAGTATCCTCTCTTGTCCCTCGATGTGGCTGCTGATCCACAAGGCGTGCTTTGATGATGTCACTAAAGTTGAATAATGAGGCTCAAGATGAACCCCAAAGATTCACAGCGTGGTCGTCGTCCTTCTCCAATCAATGACGCAGTTCCTCTCTCCTCCTTCCACACAAAAACGGATGAACTGAACGAGAGAACAAGGAAAACGCAGTGTAAGAACCTGAGTGCTTTAGGTTATTTAGACAAACAAGCAAAGAAAGAATTATAGAACAAAAGTGGTGGTGTTAAAGCCTCGTAGTTGTGTTGTGTTTGAGAGCTTTTGCTGACCACTAGTGCCTGACCAATACAGTGGTTGGCCAATATATTTTGCTGACATCGCATACAACAGGCATATCAGTATCCAAGTGAAAGTGATCGGTTTCGCTGCGATGGTAACATTTTTTTACTAAGCATACTGCAGAAAAAGATTTCTGGGACTTAAAATGGTTTCATCCCATAGATTGTCTAACAGAGCAAATCCATTATTTAAAATGCTCTCAGCACATGTAGCAGAGTATGTATGACAGTTGAGCAGATGGTGGTGCGGAGTCAAGCACTGTCTTCATAGTAAGTTACTAAGTAGTTTGAGACA